CGTTCTGTATGAACAGTACAACTACAATGTCGAAATACCCAGAATATCGGAATATATGTCGGGGCCATATCCGGATATCCCATATCCGGATATCCATATTCGGATATCACAAGACCCCACATCCGAATATCCATATCCGGATATTTCGCGACAGAATGCAATTTCTGCATTTCACGAGATATCACTCCAAAGGTTCAACTTTTAACCCATTAGAACGTCCAAGCATGCATTTTTATTCTCTTTTAGGTTCATATACAGGTTGGTTACTTGTTTAACTCATTAACATGCCAAGATATAACCTTTAAACAAGAAAAACTTATGATCAAGGTAGGGAACATACCCAAGGCTTCAAAATAGAAGCAAATGGTGCTCTTGGAGCTCTCTCACCAGCCTCAAGGTTCAGAGCACACAAGGACAAGAAAATGGCACACAAGCAAGGCCATTTCTTCACAAAGCTCACCACTTGGAGCTCCCACAACCAAGGATATGGTTCCTTCCTTACTTAGTTATGAAGTTAGCCCCAATAACTCACCAAACAGTGGCTGACCACTCAACAATGGCTACCAACCACACTCACAAATCTAATGCACACTCACACTAGTGGTATAGATGAAGAAACCAAGAGGAAAGGTGGCCTCTTGGCTCACAAGGTGGGGAAGAAGAAGGTGGTAGCACAAGGTAAGACACTCAGCAGCTGAACACTCACGTAGGGAGCCAATATGGCCTAGGGTTTTGTGCAAAGTGAGTATTTATAGTGGTTTAAGTCTTAAACACACAATATTAGCACTAATAGATACGCTTAGCATTTTAATCTCAAACTTAGAATTCTGGACCTACTCATTTTTCTAAGATTTTTCATATTTTTATTTTATTTTTCGCAACACATTTCCGGTACGCGCTTTTACATAGCCAGTATCAGTTCTGACACCAGTTCTCATTATTTTGACTTCAAAATTGAAATCTCAGTCCTATGTATTATTCTAGGAATATTCATGCACTTATTATAATTTTCCGGGATACTTCATCGGTACGCACTTATACCGTGAGGCAGAACCGGTATCTGCACTTTTCGTCAGAAAAGCGACTTTTCAGCTATCTTAATCACTTACTATAATTATTTAAGCCTTCTCATAATTATTAGGGTCAATTATGGAATTATCTCATTAATCTCATAATTAATTAATTAAATTCCTTAATTAACGGTGCGAGTTCTTACACAAAACAGTCTGCTTCCTGTAGCCATTTGCGAAGAAATAGAGAGATTGCAGAGAGATTTTATTTGGGGTGACACTAATGATCATAGGAGATCTCATCTTGTTGCCTGGGATCAATTATGCAAGCCAAGGAGTATGGGAGGGCTAGGGGTGATAAACCTCCGTGTCCAGAATATGGCATTTTTTCACAAACTTGCTTGGACAATGATCAATTCGCCTCAATCGTTTTGGGTTCGTGTAATAACAAGCAAATACAGTAGAGGTGTGGATTTACGGAGGGAAGTAACTCACAAATCCTATGATTCTTGCTTCTGGAAACAACTATGTAGTATTTGGCCATCGTTCCTTCAAGCCATGCAATGGGAGTTAGGTGATGGCAAGGACACACTATTCTGGAAACATAATTGGCTGGGATTAACAGATAATCTTGCTTCCTTGGCAACAAATACTCTTACAATGGACGACTTGAAGCTCCCAGTTAGCGTATTCGTGAACAATGATACTGGTCAATGGCATGTGTCCCACTTGCGTCAGTATCTCAATGATCAAGTGATTGCAAGGATCTCAGCAATGCTTCCTCCATGTACTTCAGATGGGAATGATCGTATTATTTGGAGAAACCATCAGGTGGGGTGTTCCCTGGTAAAAACTGCATATCGTTCCCTGCTAAACTTTCCTTCCAAGAATATAAAAAACTCTTGGACATGCACGTGGAAATGGAATGGACCTCCGAGAGTTAAAACTTGCATGTGGATTATTATGCATGGACGTCTACTTACCAAGGATTGATCAGCTAGATGGAGCGGTGACAGTAATCATTGCAAGAGTTGTCCAGGTGAGGTGGAAACAAATTTACATGTTTTGAGAGACTGCAAGCATGCTAGGGAAGTCTGGGACGTATTGGTTTCATCTAATCATAGAATAACATTCTACAACTTGGATCTCAGGGATTGGATTGAAAATAATATTAATAATTCCTGGAATCAAGGGAGTGTAGATGAATGGCGTGACTATTTTTTTGTTTCCTGCTGGTTTATATAGGGATGGAGTAACAAAAATGTTCATGACACCAATTTCAGGTATCCATCCCATGCTACTTATACAATTAGCATGTATATTGAGGAGCTGAGAAATTGTAGGGGCAGAAATTATGTGGCCACTACTAACAGCCATGTAATTCGACATAGTCGATGGGAACCACCAAGAGTTAATTCGGTGAAGATCAATGTGGATGGAGCTGTTTCAAGATCGAGCCAGATAGTTGCTTGTGGTGGATTGTTGAGAACAGATGACGGTTCATGGTTAGGAGGTTTTGAGTATCATATTGGTGCTTGTTCCCTAATCATGGCAGAACTTTGGGGTACTCTAATAGGACTGGAAATGGCATGGCGTATGGGTTTTAAGAAAGTGGAACTAGAAGGAGATGCAGCTGAAGTTTTCTCTATGCTTGCATATCGCAATGCAGCTTGTCAGTCGCGTATAGTGGCTAAGATACAAGCAATCATATCACAAGAATGGGAGCTGGCCTTTAATCTTATTCCAAGAGAGGCAAATGCCTGTGCGGATTGGTTAGCCAAGTCTGCTCTACACAAGGATACTGGACTTTGACACCATAGAATCATGCCTTCACAACTAGTTCAATTATTTGATCAAGACCTTCAGGGAATTATATCTAGTAGAGATATAGACCCTGGATAGTTGCTTTTTCTACTTTGTTTGTTTTAGTTTCTGTTTTGTCTTGGGGCTATGCCCCTTTATGTTATAAAAAAAAAAATGTAAGTTGTCGTAGAAAAGTATAAATTTCCTTTTTTTTTATTCATCAACTCTGTCATTTTCGGGCTTTTCTGAGAGTAGGTTCGAATTGTAACCTATTACAAGAGTATTGTCATATTTGAACATGGAAGAATGTAGAAGAATAATTAAAGTTTTACATTGCACGTTAGTATAACATATGTTTTTTCGTATTTAGTTTTTCAATTTTTGGACAACACGTTTGACCTTTTATTAGATGTAGTTTTTTTTTTTTGACAATTTTTATTAGATGTAGTTATTGCTTTGTTAGGAGTCGTTCCATCCTGCTTCAACAAAGACGAATAATTTAGGATGTCACACAGTCATTATTTTTATTAATAAAGATGGAGTATATATACTCGTTGAGTTTCGCCTAAATTAGGTGAGACTCTCCTAAGTGTTTCTAACAAATTGGATGAGATTAATTTGACCTAAATTAGGTGAAATTAAGTGTAATAAATTCGTAAATTGATTTAAAATAATTATATTTTCACAATTTATTATTAAAATAATAATATATCAAATTTTTTTTCCATATGAAGTATAGCCACGAGAAACTTTTGAAGAACAATGACTATTTTGTCACTGTTAGCAAAAAAATTTATCAGACTGACACGCAAACAGTAAATTTTGCCAAAATGCCACGTGACATATTTCGCTACACTGTGTAGCGAAATATGTGTGAAAATAATTCGCTACACAGTGTAGCGAAATATGCCACGTCAGAACCAAAAATGCCATGTGTCAAAAGTGCAGATACCGGTTCTGCCTCACGGTATAAGTGCGTACCGATGAAGTATCCCGGAAAATTATAATAAGTGCATGAATATTCCTAGAATAATACATAGGACTGAGATTTCAATTTTGAAGTCAAAATAATGAGAACTGATGTCAGAACTGATACTGGCTATGTAAAAGTGCGTACCGGAAATGTGTTGCGAAAAATAAAATAAAAATATGACAAATCTTAGAAAAATGAGTAGGTCCAGAATTCTAAGTTTGAGATTAAAATGCTAAGCGTATCTATTAGTGTAGCAAAATATGTGTGCAAATAATTCGCTACACAGTGTAGCGAAATATGCCATGTCAGAATGCTCAGAAGCAAAAATGTTATGTGTCAAAATTGGAGAAATTTGCTACACTATGTAGCAAATATCTCCAATTTTGAGTAGTGTAGCAAATTTCTCCAATTTTGACACATGACATTTTTGGTTCTGACGTGGCATATTTCGTTACACTGTGTAGCGAATTATTTGCACACATATTTCGCTACACAGTGTAGCGAAATATGTCACGTGATATTTTGACAAAATTTACTGTTAATGTGACAGTGTGATAAATTTTTTTACTAACAGTGACACTTTAGTCACTGTTCCAACTTTTGAGCTATTTATCGGATTGACCCTGTGAATTATGTATTGGGTCCAAAACCATTATATTTTTAATTCATTAAAAAAATTTAAATGATAATTATATTAACGTAAAAAAAAAATTTCTTTATTGGATGCCTTTTAAAGTATTTATAAATTATAAGCATTCTTGGAGAGGGACTGAACCTTTAGCCATCACTGTTCCCCCGCACTCCGGATTAGTCCCGTAGCCGATTCAAAGAGTCGAAGCTCGTGGGGATACCGGAGGGAGCCAACTCGTCTCAAAGAGATAATTAGAGTTAGGTAACTCCAAAAAAAAAGTATTTATAAGCAAATTCCTTAATTTTGGTGTCTTCAATGGTGAAAGTCCATTTGTAAATTAAATGAGAGCACAGGATCCCGTTGCAAGTGGCCACGCAGAGCCGTCATTTGAAACAAAATACGGCCCCACATTATATCCATTTGTTCACGCGCGCAGCACATCACATCTCTCGTACGGGCTACGCCAAAATTACAAAACCAACCCCAGCACGCCAGAATTACGCACAGCACAGCACAGCACAGCACATCCTATAAAACTACTACCTTAACTAAACTATGTTTTCGCCACCCAGAGGAACACGTGCACGCCAACACGCGCTTATAGCCCTCTCTCTCTCTCTCTCATCTAACATTTCCAAGCCCAGCCCATCCCATCCCCAGGAGGGTCTTCTCTTCTCTTTAGGGTTTTCGGAATCTCCGACGTTTTTCGATTTCATTTTTGAATTCGCTTAGATGGTTCAGCTGATGAAGAATTCTGGGAGCCTCGAAACGACGTCGTGCCGCGACAACAAGTCGTCGGTGAAGTTGGAGATCGCGGAGGACCCACTTGAAGAAGAACATGGCCCTCCCAACAAGCGCTCCAAACCTTCTTCCCTGCCTTTGCAAGAGGTTTGTGTTTGTGTGTGTTTGTCACTTTCTTGTTTTTTATTTTTGGGATTTTTGGGAAAATGGTTAGAATCGCTAGATCGTGTGTATAGTTTCTCAACGAGTGATCTTGTGTTGAAAGGATCATATTTATTGCGTGATCTTAATCTATTTTGGTGTTAATTGTTCTTGTAGTGGTTTTCAGTAACAATATACTAATCATTATAGTTGGCATTAATCAGTCATCTGCATTGGCTGACTTTAATTTCCGCAATTTAGTTTGGAGTTTCAAATTCCGAATTGTATTCATTACTAGTAATTATTATAGGAAGATTCATATGCTTGTGTTAAATATCTACTTATTAACATGTATTTATGTTACATATGATCATATCGCATACACTTAAATTTTGGGGGGGATAAAATAGGCGATCTCTGGTCTGGGAAAAAGATTAATAATCCTGATGCTATATGTTTTGATCATTGGCTCAGATATCCGTGCTTATCATACACTCTATTTCGATATTACTTAACAGTTTTTTAAATTTCAATATGTTGTAATTACTAATTAGACTCTCGCTGTTCTCGGCAATATGTAGGTCTTAGAACAAGCACTTTAATTGCTAGAACAGTCGAAAAATTCTTATATTAAATTCTTGCTAGGGGTTTCTGTTTTCATTGTAAGATTAAAGTTGAATATATTCACTGTTTTAACTTCTTATTCCCCTTGTGCATGGTCTTACCAATCATTTAGCAATGGAGTGCTTCAAATGATGCTTATCTCAGTCCTCCTTCAAACCTCAATATACTTGATGAGCCTAGCCCTTTGGGTTTGCGTCTGAGGAAGAGCCCTTCGCTGTTAGATTTGATTCAAATGAAACTTTCTCAAGGAAGTACATTTATTGCAAATGCACAAAATGAAAATTCAAGCTCTGGAGTGATAAAGGAAAGTAAAGGTGCTGCTGTATTAGGGACTGCTGACAAGCTTAAAGCTTCAAACTTCCCAGCTTCACTTCTAAGGATTGGTTCGTGGGAGGTATATTCGAGATACTGCATGTCACTAGAAAATGTTTTGTTGATGAATTTAGACTAGCTGAATGTTCTCTTTTTGGCAGTATAAATCAAGATACGAGGGTGACTTAGTGGCAAAGTGTTACTTTGCTAAACATAAGCTTGTTTGGGAAGTTCTTGAAGGTGGTCTAAAGAGTAAAATAGAAATTCAATGGTCAGATATCATGGCACTTAAGGCACATTGTCCTGAGAATGGTCCTAGCACAATGACTGTTGTGGTAAAATTCCCCTATCTGCCTCTCTATTTTAGCCACTTGCATAGTTCTTTACGATGCAAAGGCCTATACATGGATAGAGTCTGTGTATCATTGACCCATTGGTGAATTTGTGTGTTGCAGCTTGCTAGACAACCTCTTTTCTTCAGGGAGACTAATCCTCAGCCTAGAAAGCATACATTATGGCAGGCAACAGCAGATTTTACCAATGGACAGTCTAGCAAACATAGGTATATATTCTTTTAACTGTTTCCCCCTGATATGTGAATGCGGGCTTAGCTTTTATATACATTGGTAAGTTGGTAACTATTGAAAATTTTGATTGTTTCATTGATTTATCGTAAGTTGGGCAGTTGAATTATAGCATTTTACCAGCATTTAATATATCCATTCTAAAAGATTAAAGACCAATTACCAATGGGAAATCCGAGAAGGAAAATGTAAGAGCATGAGAGCTGATTGAGATAACCACGGAAGGGAGGTTAGGTGCCATTAGATATTGTATTTTATCGACTTTAGAGGAATCATTATGTATATTTCAAGTCATTTCTACTCAGTACTGTGGTTTAAATTAAATAAAAAGTTCTTTATTTTGGGGGGTGGGGCTATGTTTGATAGTTTTAAAATTCCCATTGAGGTATTATTGTGTTTAGGTCCTATTTTCAAGTCCTTGATGTTTGAAAGCTCCATCTTGTGGTTTTGTAGGTTGCATTTTTTGCAATGCCCACAAGGACTATTGACGAAACATTTTGAAAAGCTTATCCAGTGTGACATGCGTCTTAATTGCTTAAGCCAACAGCCAGAGATAATTTTGGATTCGCCACATTTTGATACACAACCTTCTGCTTTTGAGGACCCAGGCAATCCAAAAGACCATGATTTGCATCAAGTCAGCGGGAAAGGATCCTCCACATCTTGTTTTCAGGACATAGGATCACCTCAGGCATCCCTGTCATCATCAGTTAAGAGTGAACACAATGATCCTCCTGGCATGACTTTGGATAGTCTCTCCCGAGAAGCACCTTCCCCCAGTTCAGGTACTTATAAGAACTTGGCTCATGTTCCCTTCTGTTTCATCTATCAATGGAAAATCCCTCCTCCCTCTCCCCCAAAACAAAATAGACATTTAGAGAGAAAAGGAACACTATCATACATGTACTTTTCACATTGGTTTGTGCAATATCAAGGAACGTTTGTCTTTTGGGTTTCCATGTCTTATCTTTCCCTTGCGTTCCATTGGGATATGGTGTGGATTTCCTCAATAGACATTCTGTCTATGTACCTGGCTGTGTAATTAACTAAAATTGATTGCCTATTTCTTTAGTTTATTTATTACTCCTTGTTTTGCTTGTTAGATATGTGAAGCTTACTTCCATACGTGTTTGTCAGTCCTGTATTTTATGTGGTGTTTTTTCGGCCTGATTGTTTTCCTTTTCTGTCTTACACATACAAGTCATGGATTGTCGTTCAGTTGAAGGGAGTACAAGTTCTGAAACTGATTCCAAGGGCCCAAGAAATTTGGATCAGATAAAACTGCCTGGACTCCGGCCTTCTATGTCAATGAGCGATTTTATTGGCCAAATTGAACTTTGTCTGTCGGAGCAAATGACATCTGGGAATCCATCCTTCTCTAATGGAGGATCAGAGTACCAGGAGATCCTGGAGGACATTGCACAGCACCTGCTCAGTGACAATCAGGTTGCAGCAGCTTCCGATGAAAAGTCACTCATGTCAAGGGTCAATTCTCTCTGCTGTCTTCTGCAGAAGGACCCTGTAACAGTTCAGAATTCACTTTTTACAGAGGGTAGTACTGTTGAAGGACCTGACGATGGAAAAGATGTCAAGCCTGCTGAGGAGGACTCAAGGGATGCTTCTGCTGGCAAGCAAGCACAAGGCATGTCTAGGAAAGACTCCTTTAGTGATTTGCTTCTCCACCTTCCTCGAATTGCTTCTCTTCCAAAGTTCTTGTTTAACATATCCGAAGAGGATGGCGACAGTCAAGCCAGATAGATAGTCATTCTCTCATATTTGAAATTTCAAAGTGAGCAAGAATGGAGCTACCTAGCAAAGTCTAGCTGCATAGGCAATATGTTATGTTTTCGTAGACATGTGCAAGTTTAATTTCTACTTTGGGAACCACTGGGGTTTGGAAAAGTTGTTTTGATGAAGAATCCTGGTAGAGCCCGTGTAAAAGTTGGCACGTAGGTGTTTTAGCTCTGCCTTTGTTTTCTTTTTTCTTTTTTTCTTGCCTTCTGGGTCTCGTGGACGGTTGTTGTCTGCTTCTATGTAAATGGTGTTGCCTGATCAAATATTAGCTGCTTTGGATGGTCTCTGTGTCTTTCCTTGGAATAGAATTGAGCAAATTATTTGATGAAGATCATAAGCTTTAGCTGATACTGTCTGAGTGGCAGCCAGAGTCTATATATGTTAATCAAATAGTGAAATGAAAGAAGACGTAGGGGCAGGGCTATTCCAAAATCTAAAATGCATCAAGAGAAGTTGATTCACATACATATTCCTTCACTCAATAGGAAGACCGTTAGGGGACGTTTGGTCGAGGGAAAATTTTTATGAATAATAGGGAAATAAGAATAGTGGGAAAATGGTTGGAAAGTGAGTTTGGTAGGAAAATGTAAAAAAAGTTGTTTGGTTGAAAAAAATATTACCGGGGAAATTAGGTAACATTTATGAAGTCTATGTTTGGCTATAGGTAAAAAATAGATGGAAAAAAATGATGCTATTACGAAAATACCCCTGTTTTAATTTTTTTTTGAAACAAACATCCTACCCTTTACCATCAAAACAAGAAAAAATCTGTCTTTGGAGGGTATAATCGTCATTTGAGATATTGTCTATACAGTGCCTTTGCCAGTTTTCACAAAAAACCACCTCCAAGAATTCTTTATGAACAGTGTCAAACACCATCATTCCACTTGCATATTCAAAATGCAATGCAATTAGGATTGGTGGGGATTTACACTAAATCCATGGAACCAAACGAGTGCTTTACGGAATGCTTCTTTCGAATGCATAGGAAAGTTTGAAAAAGAACGCAACCAAACACCACCTCAAGGGTGCTTGGTAGAGGAGATAATTTTTTTTACCGAAAAAAAAAAGATTTACCAGAGTAGTGGGAAATTTTTTTTCTCGGATAAGTTACGAAAAGGTGTTTGGTAGGTCTAAAGTTTTTCTAGAATGTTGGGTTAATTATACTAACTCTCTGAGAAAATAAAAATATCATATATTAGATGAAATTTTCATTTGAGATTCTGTAGTTAAAATTGAAATGATGGGAAACAAAATTTTCGAGAATATTTTCAGTTTCGTCGTATCAAAAGTTGAAATTTTTTTTGTCTCATCCCACTTTTCTAAGATTTCTAAATCAATCTTCATTCCAAACACCCACTGTTAAAATATAAAGGGAATGGGAAAATGGTATACCTCACCCAACAGCAGCCTTTGTTTTGAGTCTTTTAATTTGGGTTGGTTTAACTTGGAGGTTGTAAAATATTAGGTCCTCATTGGGCGTAAACTTGAACCGTCTGTTCTTTAATGTACTATAGGCTAACCTAGTAGCGAAGAAGTTTACTTAACAAGTTGAACATTTTGTATTGATTAAAGGCGAAACTACCAAACGCTCGACCTTATGAATACTCAAGCATTTCCAAGGAGAAGCATTAAATTTTAATTTGGTATTTCCCCTAATGCAACAACAAGAAGATAAAAATCGTGATCAAAGTGAGAAAGAGGAGACAGAGGATGGAACATTACAGTTACACGTTTAGCGGGACTAATCTCATTGGTGGGACCAATGGATTGATTTTGCTAACACAGACAAGGTGCAATACCCTTATATTCTACATTTCTTAATAATAAAATTATTTATAATAAAATGAGAATGATATGACTTCAAAATATAATTTGTATATTATTTCGTATTTTTGTTAATTAAAAAGTAAATCTATATGAGGAAGGTTATACTTACAACCTTTTTTTTTTACAACCTCTTACAACCATATTTTAACACCGTTGATTTCCGCCAATCAACGGTTATCATTTATTGTGAATTAATAATTAATTAATAAATTTTATTTGCGAAAATCATAACCGTTGATTGGCGAAAATCAACGGTGTTAAGATATGATTGTAAGAGATTGTAAAAAAAAAAAAGATTGTAAGTATAACCTACCTCAATCTATATTATTTAATGAGATTCATATAAAATTATATTGACTAATTAAAAAAGCATAAATATCATTTTGGGTTCTTAACAAAAAATACGGAACTCATTTTAATCCTTTAGAATAAAAAGTATTTATATTAGTCCTTTTTTGAGGGACTAATGTGGGTTTTCTTTGAATTTCTGAAGGACAACGATTTCAAAAAACTAGAATTTTAGAGGGACCACAAGTTAACTTTTTTCTAAGGGATTAAAATAAGTTCCGTGTTTTTTGTTGAGGACTCAAAATGGTATTTACTCTTAAAAAAATGTTAAGCAATGAAATATTAAAGAATATATTATTAATATTATTTAATCAAATATATCAAGAAATACATTTCAGGTATTGTCAATTATTTAGATTTATTGGTCAAATTACTGAAACTAATTTACATGTTACATTTGCATTCAAATATGTTCAGCAGTATAATTTTTTTTCTTCACAAAAACATCAAATAGGATGACTGGTAGAAAGACTTCTGTACGTACATGACAGATGACTGGTAGCTTAATACAATAAGATATGCTTTTGTTAATGTGCATGCCATAAGTTATACCATACTAATGCAGTCAAAACTGCATGCTGACCATGTTCAACCAATCTTGCGAATAAATCTTTTGTATTACTGCTATATCAAAGATTTAGTATATCCTATTAATAAAAATATTATATGTCAACTAAATTTTTTTTTTTGTCAAATTTTTTTTCTCTCCTCTGACGTGTATTGCTCTCATTGATGAAATGCACTGAATCTAAATACAGTAGTAATACCAAAGATTTATTCCAACCCCGCATGCAAAACCTATGAAACACCTCTGCCACGCTGGCACTCCCGCACTGAACCCATGCAGGACTAGTCCCTCCTAAATTGGAGCGGGACGTGCATCATAAAAGCCCACCAGAAGCTGTTCTTTCTAAATTTCTTCCATCCTACTCTCTCTCTCTCTCTAAAACTCCCCTAATCTCTTTCTAAAAATTTTCTCTGACCTCTCTCTAGACTTCATTTGAGTTTCTTTCTTTACATGTAAGTATTTTTTTTTTTTTGGTAGGCACATGTAAGTATTTAACTTATTTAATTAATGTAATATTTTTAATGTTATTTTAGAATATTTAAAATTGTAGATGTTAAACATACATCTAGGTAGGGATGTAAATGGGTCAGGCTGGCCCAGCCCAGCCTACGGCCCGACCTACATTGAGCCCGACCTTTCAGAAAAGTAGAGTAGGCTTAGGCTTATAAAAAAGCTTTTTTAACAAATAGGCTATAGGTCAATTTTGTCAAGCCCGGCCTACAGCCTTGTAGGCTGGCCTATTTAATTTATTAAATTAAAATAATAAAATAATATTTATTTTATGTGGCAAAGACACAAAGTACCAAATACCAATATCTCTTACTTTTTGTGCTGTTTTATTTTATGAAAGGAAAACTTGTCTAATGTCTCCAAATTTTACATGTTGTTGTAGCTTAATACCATGGAGCAATGGGTACCTTGCTGGATTATGATGTTATTGATGAAGATCTTTCAATAATACTCTTCTTTTCCTTGTCTTAATGGTGATTTAAAGATTTTTAGATGAATGACATTCTCTTGTAGACTTTATTTCAGCATTCAGTAATTGTATTTTTCTTATTTTTCCCATTTCTTTGACTCTATTCCTCTATGATATACATTCTAGAGCTGAGGTATTATGTTGACTCTTTCTTGTTTGTCATTTTTTTCTTATGAGAAGTACTAGTGCATGCATGAATGAAACTTTCTTTGCTCTATACAATTATTTTTATTTTTTTTGCTTAGTATATATAGTGGGAGGCCTACAAGGCCTGTAGGCCATGTCAGGCTTTCTTATTTTTGAAAATGGGCCGATCTTGGCCTACAAATAAAGCCTTTAATAGGCCAGTAGGTCAGATAGGCTGAATTTTTTTTGACGTAGGCTTGGGCCAGGATGGCCAAAGCCCAGCCCAGCCCAGCCCATTTACACCCCTACATCTAGGTAGTGTAAATTATGTATCAAACATTAGGATAGCCCTTTTTTTTAATAGCTGTAGGTATGTAATTTATTTAATTATTATAATATTTTTAATATATTATTTTAGAATTTTTAGGATTGTATATGCGATACACACACTTAGGTAATGTAATGTATGCTTCGAGAAAATTATGCTAGAAGCGCATTTTGTACCACGTGACATTATTTAGTGGTGTAAGTTATTATAGGGAATTATTTAGTCATTGCTAAGTTAAAAATTTAGATGCTATTATAATTAATTTAAATTTAAATTTAAAATATGTACAAACCATAATTTAAAACTAAGTAATGAATATTGAAATTAAAAATATTGTAATTACGGTTTTGTACATTTAGATTAGCTACATGGTTGTTGAGGGCGCGTTCGGCCACATTGAGCCTGGTCTTAGACTGTGGGGCGTGCTTAATACTGATGTGCAGCGGACACATTTCTTAGGCTGTTTGGAATGATGGACATTCTAGGATATTGAAGGTGAGACAAGTCTCACAGGGACTACTAGGGGACATCCATGACCCAGATCATATCCCTATGGATATGCATGCATGAGACGATTACTATAACAATCCTAGCTTGTAAATTATAAATTTAAGAATTTATTAAGATATAATAATATTTAATGGAGAATTAATTATAAGAGAAGTCTAATTAGATGAATTAAAGTCACCTTGTGAAAATGAGTTAAAAATGACAATTAAGAAGTAAAAATGCAGGTAAGCAAAGTTATCCAAAAGTTAAAAGTAAAATGGTAAATATTATCGTAAAAATATTATAAATCAAGGTGTCCAGTTAGAAATAGAGTTAAGTGAGCGGGATAAATAACTTTATACCCACTTGCTTAGTACAACTCACTTAAAGTACAAAATCAATCTCATTTCCCCTTATCTTCTCTATTCCCGTCGGATTGCCCTCTTCAAGCAAATGAGAGTTTTCCATTTTCTTTAACCGTTGTGTTGCTCCTACACTTATAGGAACAAGTAAGATCACTCCCAACCTTTATCTCCACTTCATTTCCTTTGTTCCTTCCCATTTGTGTTGTTGTTTTGAGAAAGAGAAACCCCTTTGTGAGTAGTGTACACCTCGTTATCGGACCGATGTGTTATCATC